ATTAACCGAAACTTGGAAGTGCAAAACAGCAGAATGCCAAGTTGTAGGAAGAGTCTTAAAGAAATGAGGGTTGTGCAGGAGAATCTCACTGTGCCTTATGACCTTTCCTCTACTTACAGGAAGCAGTGAAGATGGAGAAAAAGATTAAATGAATTAAAACTTGCTCAGACTACGTGCATAAAACACACAGACTTTGTGGAACTTCTTTATCTGAACTCTGGATCTTCCTGGAGTGACACAGGTAATCAAAGAAGTACCACGAAATGAAAGTAAACACTGAAAGCAATGTTAAATCAGGACATTAATTTGAATGTGTATTTAACTTTGTAATGTATTTTTAAATCAGTGCAATTTTGCGTTTCATTGAAAGACTATTCTGCCGCTGTTTTCAAGTACTTGAAGTATTTTTCAGATAACTTAAGAAACAAGTAAAGCAATTACACTACAGTCTGGTTTATGTATGAGATTGTATAATATTCTTTTTATATTTTTCCATGTAGTTCAATACCTATTTGAACATACACCTGTTGTAGAATTGTGTATAACTGTCCTGTGCAACAGGTGGCTGTGTTGCTGAAACTGTATGAATGATAGTTGATCAGTAGTGAGCCATATTTATTCGAAAGATATCACTACATGTTACTTTGCTTATTACAGTTGCACTATGGATTATTCTTCCTTTATTTCCTGATGATGTACAGAATCAAAATCTTAAATCTTTCAAGGAAAATATGACAAGTTGAATTGGCCCAGTTATCCAGTTTAATTTGTCCTTTTTGTAGCCTTTGCTATGCACGGTACTTGTAAAACGTACATAAATTCAGAGTGTTATGTTAAACTTGCTGGAATCTTATATTCAGTACCATTTCTAAATGATAATGATTATAGATTGGTTGTTAGTGTTTATGTTTTATAGGAAACTGGAAAAGAATATATCATATACTCTGGAATTTTTAGATGAGATAATGTCTCTTAATTCCTGAATATGATCCTACTGACTGCTTAAACTGTAATAGCATCTGACTATATCGTAATAAAGGGCCTTCCAGTTTTCATTACAATTTCTGCCTTGAAGAGAGAAGAAAAATTGGCTGTCCAAAACTGTGGAATTTATGAATCTTATAAAAAGCCTCATTTCAGTAGACTGGATTTGGACCTGCTTGGCCCTTAAGTTGCACATTCTGTGAATTTTGAAGCTCACTCTTCTGCTGACTGCAGATTGCAGCTGCCATTCAGAGGCCTGTGGTAAATCTACCTCTCAGTGATCTTATGACAATTAAGAATTAGATTAATGGTTAATGCCCAATTTTGCAACCTTTATAAGGCCAGACCTATTTTAAGATGCCTGTGAGGCTCCATGGTACATCTTGAAATGCATACTGACCCAAAGATGCAATACAGTAAAGTTTGCTCTGATGCTGTCTGTAGGGAAGTGATTATAATGTGGGTTTTTTAACTTTTATACTGTCATGCATTTAGCTAGTTCAACCCTTTAAACTGCTCGGATAAAAAAAATTACTACTCCAAAGCAAGTTCAGTTGAGAAACAAATCCCTGACCTCTTGGAATGCCTTATGCAGCTGTGGATCTGTAGGAAACACTGATAGGAACGGTTTACCTGGCTTTGCATTTCGTATTTTAGTGTGCTAAAATACAAACGTACTAAATACGAAGTACTTTGTAATGTAGTGGCTATTTTGGCAGGGCTTCACTATAATGGTAGTCCAAGTTCTCTGTATTCAGATCCAGTCATCAGAATTTTCATCATGCAAAGTATGGGAGGACTAGATATTTGCAGATGTGTAAAGTTTTGTTTTTGTATACCTCTATATGCATTTTGATTTTTTTTTAAAGTAAATTTTAAAATGACAGGAATATGTAAATTATTTTTTTCCGGGCATCGTTTAGCCCTTTTCCAGAATGGTTTTTCCGTAGCAATGAAAAGGGAACGGTTTAGTTACAATGTTATTTAAAGTTGCCAATGTATCGTTGAGGTAACTTCTGATGGGGCACTCAGGTTCAGAGCTAGTCAGAGCCGTTCTTCAGTATGAAGTGAGGAACTGAATTTTTCATGGACTTTTCCCAAAACATGATTTAAGAGGCAAAGCCAAGTAGTTCTTAATACAGGCTTACAGTGTATACTGTAGAGGGCTTAAGGAAGCTATGCGCTACTCAATATTTTAAAATACAAGTAATAGACTTTGTACACAAATTATTGCTTAGAAATTCCGTAATACCAATGTTGAAGTCCTTGATACAACGAGATTAAGGTATCTCATCTGACTTCTATAATTCTCACCATAGTAAGAATTAAACTCCATAATGGTCCATAAAGCATGTGGGCTTATCTGCCTTGTGTGGTGAAAAAACTACTGTATCAGACCTGGAGTTCACCCTTAAATTATAATAATTTTATTTAAAATATAGTCCGATATTAAATAAGAGCTTATACGCCAGAATGTTAGAGTTTGGTTGTGCTTTTGTTCCTTGCCGTCTGATTTTCCAGAATTACTATCTTGCACATCAGGAATTTCCTTTGCTTGATGGAAATCTGAGGGTTTTTTTTCTCAATCCGGGTTAAAATAAAATCTTTCTTAGGAAGTGAAGGTTTACTCCTTTGTCCAAATGGGCTCATAGCTAATGAATTGCCAAAGGAGCATTTTTTCCAAAATGAGCTGGGATGTGTATGATACTAAGCAAGGTAATGTCCTTTTTTTAGCTGTACAATTAAGAGAAAAAAATATTTGAAGTTGATGTACCTCACTTAAATGATAAATTTTAATTTTAGTAGTCATTAGGCTGGATTGCGATAATATAAAAGGTCTCTTTTGGGAAAATTTATAGTTAAAAAGCTGATCAACTACTAGCAATATTTAAATACCTGCCTAGCAGTCAGTGGCACAACGAAGATGAATTAGTAATTCCAACACGTTACATTATAATTAGGGGATATGTTACAAACCATTCATTAAAAACTCTGTATAATTTCTTGCACTAGCTACTTAAGCACGGTTTCCATTTTAGAAGTACATGTATCTATTTTCAATGGTTTATTATGAGGATTGGTTACATTTTAATTCCTTCTCTAGTAGAATACCTTGATTATTTGGATAACGAAGGCGTTATTGTCTCAATTTGGCTACTAAAGTTATTTAAAAGATCTGATTTTCCCACCTAAGGAAGTTTGTTCAAAAATGAGGATCTGTAGTGAGAAGCCAACGGAGTGAGAAGACTGTCCAGATTTAATGGAAACACCTGTACTTTCCCAAATCCCCGAGCTGCAGATATGTTGTGTGTATAACTGCATTTATGGAAACTGCCATTTTCATGGAAATGAGCGTATTAAACATTTTCTCATATCCTTGTTGATGCACTAATGAAAGCCATTTAAGCCTCATTCTTTTTATCAGTATTTTTTAGCAGATTTCTATGTGTAGTACTCAGTCTTTTTCATGAGAGAGCTGGTTGGTAGAAAGACTTTTTATTTTAATGATTAAGCACTATGCTCAAATGTCAGCATCGTCAGGTGTTAGTGACGTGGCTATTTTTGTTGGAGTTGGTGAAAGGTGGAATCCAAGTATATTAGCCTTATAAGAAATAGCCTTAAATAAGAATGGAGTATACAAAATTACTTCAGCTTTAAGTCATACAGAAATATCCTTGTATGTTAACGGTTTTGGTACAAGACTGGAAAAAAATCTAGAGGAGAGTCAAACATCATATAAACTTATTGAAAATAAGTATTTGTAATACCAGCAGCCTGTTTTTCAGAAACTTGAATATGACTTACAGTTTTGTTTATGAAATTGTTTGAACTTGCACAGATGTAGGTGTAACTTAAATGATAAATGGTACTGATGTGTGTATATATAATGTTTAATTCTATTTGTAAATGAGAAACTATGTAATAAAATCATAGGTATGAGGTTTTCCTATTGTAATTTAATACAGGTATGAGGTTTATGGCAATACATCATAGTTAATGAAATTTCAGGTCAAAAATGTCTTTAAATTGTGTACATTTTTAAATTGTAATTTCTACTGTATATTGATTATCATGCATAGTGTGATTCAAGAAACTGCTTGTAATTTAAAAATATTTAATATGAAAAATAAAATACAGTTATATATTTATAATCTCTTTGTCTGTTTGTTCATTCTTAAACAGATCCCAGCAATGCATCAGGTCCACAGTATAGTTCTACTGTAAGATATATTTGTTAGTGTCCAGAGGTTGAGAAAGTGCCAAAAGCCCAAAGCTACAGTTCCAGCAGATTACTCTACACTAAATACACTGTTAGTCACCTTAAATTTCTTCTAACATCACCTTTGTGTGAACTTCAGGTAATGTGTATTCAGTCAGTAGAGAAGGAATGCTTGAAATATGAACAGTGTAGTTCTAAAAGCTTAATACTACTTTTAATCCTAGAATTAAGCATCTGTCGGAAAAATGGAGATTTCAGATTTTCCGCGTACCCTTCCGAAAATAGGTTAATGATTATTTTTCTCGGTATTCACTGGATTTATTTCTAGATTATGATTTTTATTGTTGTGGGGTTTGGTTGGTTTGTGGTGTTTCCTTTTTTTTTTTCTTAATCTACGTGCATGTGCTGAATGGGCCCAAGATTGCCAGGTAATTGTACTTGTGTGTATTGGTAGTTGCTTTCACATGAGATTTGAGGCTCTTTGAGCCTGGGCACTCTGTGAGGCAAGAGGAGGGTGCTATTTTTTCCTCTTAACCTGTTACTGTTGTGATGACACATTGCAGGGATGTCAGCAGTTAATGGAGGCTGTTGTGGAAGCCCCCACATGGCATTGCAGCTGTTCTGAGTCCTGGCAGCTGTGGAGACCTGGGAAAGGGAATGTGGTATCAAGATTAGTTCATTAGGTAAAATGTAACTACTGGGCTGAAATTTGACCAAGACAGTGGTCATTGAGAACAGGTGTAAAAGATTCCATGGCACTGAACTGGTCATGTTATATAGAACCTATTATAAAAGAAATTGAGCACTTGCAATCTTTATCATCAGCCACCTTCTTGCAAGAGGTTGAGGCGCTTTGTCTATGGGCCTGTTTCACATGCCTGAGCCAGACTGCCACCTCCTCCACCCGAGGACATCCCACCTGCTGAAGTGAGTACCAGGCTGGCCCCTCCTGCATTTTTTTGCGTAGCGTCTGTTGCTCTGTTGGAAGCTCCTAGATGCACGCACACGGCAGCACTGGCTGAGAGTGCTGCCTCCCAAACCCCTTCTGCTGTCACTTGGAGCCCTGGAACCCTCTGAAACCGTGAGCCCCTGTGCTGGCCGCTGTCTCCAATTGCCATCCCCCTCCGTGGGGTCCGGTCAGGGCCCTGGCAGAGGCCGGGTTCCCGTCCCCGGACCCGTTACTCTGCGGGGCGGCCCCTGAG